GATGAACCCACCCCTCACAGAATTTTTAAAAATGTTTTAAAATATAGCCCAGGCTAGCCTAGAATTTATTATGTAGTCCAGGCTAGAAACAAAATCATGATCCTACTGGCTCTTCCTTCCAAGCACAGATATTACAGGCACATGCCACCACACCTGGCAAAAAAATATATATATATATATATGTATGTATATGAATATAAATATATATGAATAAATATATATATATTTATATTTGAGACACAGATTGTGATTTAGAGAATTAGTATTTGTTCAACCACCTCCAGAGCCTTGAGTTTGATTCCCATCACTGCAAAAAAGAATTATGCTGTTTCAAGAGACCATGTCAAACTCAATGTCTTTGTCTATGACTGTTGCCTGTGGATCAGGATATAAAGCACTCAGCTACCTTTCCAGCACCCAGTTGCCTAGCTGCCTGCATGCTGTTGCACTCCCCACTATGATGATAATGGGGTCAATCCTCTGAAACTATAAGCAACCCCCTAATTAAATGCCTTCCTCTATAAAAAAATTATGCAAAGTTATAACACTAACAAAAACTAACATAATGAGCAAAATCTATTTCCAAAGCAGTATGGACAAACAATAGCATAATTAAATATTCTTACCTTCCTCTCCACTAAGTGGCTCTTCTAACAACAAACTATTCATACATTCCCAGTCTTTCAGTAGCTCAGTAGCACAGTCCCACATGCTGTCGACAAGGTAAGCTGCATGCTCATGTAACTAAAATTTAAAAACAACATCATGCTCTTAGACAAATAGAATACAGCTTTAGAACAGAAGCAAAGATGCTTTATTGACACCATGTTAAAATTCTTAAAAAAGAAACTAGTTCTTGAGATCAAATGGATGAAAGAACAGAGAACTGTTATGTCTGATGTTATCAAGTAAGTCTTGTTAACCATTACTACCTTTTAATATATTACATAAACATTATTTTACAAATAGATTAACTATGCACTTATTGCTTATTTGGCACTAAGATTTCAGTTAACTTTTCTTAATTCTTAGTTCTATGATTTTTATTTTAACTGAGTGGGAATAATAATGGTCAATTAGAGCAATAATATACATTTTGCTACTTGATTCAATTTATATGGACAAAATTCTCTTCATTCTGAGAGAAAAAGACTATATTTTTCCAACTTGTTTTTAAGGGTTGAGGTTAATTATGGAGCCAAATTTTTGATAAACATTATGCATTTCTCCAACTTTAAAGAGAAGTATCTTAACAAGGAAATATCCTCAAGAATTACCAAAATGGATTTAGCAACATACAAAGAAGCATCATAGGATAAGAAGATTTGATTGATGTTTTAGAAAACATAATTCAACACATTTATAAAGTGAAACACAAGACTAAACAAACTGTGAACCCTAAATAAAAGTGAATTTTGAGCCCTCATAAAAGATTTAACCGAAAAAATACAATAAAATAAAAAATAAAAGGTTTAACCAACAGAATGCTAACTTAGTGGAGATGAATGTAAGTCTGTTACTAATCAATATTAATACAAGAAAGGAAGCTGGCTGCTGTGGCTCACAGAGGAACCCTGTGTGGGAAGAGTCCTCCTTGAGGCTAAGGCACATGATTTTGCACAAGATCACGGTCTGTCTGGCCTACTGAGATCTTGTCTCAAACAACAATAATAAACATGAACATTTGAAAACTTAGCATGTTCTAAGCTTTTCTTTTATAGGGATTATATCAACATTAATTTAAAAAATTTACTGACATTTCAAAATAGAAAAGGAAGGCTTCAAAAGATTGAGTAACTTATCCAAGATAACACAATCAATAATGAGAATACAGCTGTAATACTTTCCAAAAATATAAATAAATCATAATTGTTGAATACCTATGTTATTAAATTAGAAAGCACTTTAAAATTGGAACAGATAGATCTCAGCTGGATTTAGTATTTGATTATTTGTATGATTTCAGATATACAGCATTTTAATACCTTTCAAAAGTTTGAAATTTAAGTATAAAATAAACAACAGAAACTAACCTCACTTTCCAAGAAGAAAAATACCAAAGTCTTAACAAGGTTGGCATTTGGACCTTGTCTTCCCCTTCTTTTCATTATTCCATCTTCTTCTGGATCTCTACGGCTGAAGAGTCTATAGGCAAAGAAAAAATACTTACTTGAAAACTAAGCACCTAACAACAGAATAATGTAAAACTGGATAGGTAAGCATTAAAATATCAAGCCTTCTAAGTACCTTGGAAGTCTTACATTATTTTATACAATTTCTTCCTTTCATGGAAGTAATACAATGACTGAACTAAAATATTTATGTACAAGTATGATACATATTTTTCTTTAAATTGGAACATAACATTTCCTTTTCTTCCTTGAACATTATTTTAGCACAATGACCCTTTTCTAATGGATAGTGTGTGAGTTTTTCCTAAACAACAAAGAAGAACTAATGTTAGATAAGAATTAATAGAAAACTGGTGTGGTTACTTCATACCAAGTAAATATCCTAATAGTTAATACACCCCAAATAAACCTTTCAGTAAAATCTTAACAAATATATTACCCTAGTTCATGTGATTAAACATGTTCTCTTTAAAAGTCACTAAATAATATTTGCTTAATGGTTTCCGCAATCATATAGCCAAAGAGCTTTATCTGAAAGGATAAATAATATCATAAAAGTAAGAGAATAACAAGAACATAAATGTACTTTTTGTAGAGAAATTCTCCAGCTGCTACTGCTACTGGCCGGTGAGCTGAATAAACCAGATGATAGACATTTTCACAATCTTCTGCAGTAAGAACTTCTTCACTACTCCTAATAAGAAAGAAGCAATAATGATTTTAGTAATATCATGACTATATCAAACTTTTATGAACTTAATTTCACAAATTTATATTAAAAATAAATAGAATGTATTTGAGTACAATCATTTGGTAAAACTTTGACCCAACAAAAATGGTGAGTGTGTCATTAAGATAAAGCATAACTGTCGCATTATACAATTAAGAATAAATATAGGCTAGGCATGTTGGTCCTTGCTTGTTATGCCAGCACTTGAGAAGTACAGTCAGGAGGATAAGGACATCGTCGGCTATTCAACAATTTCAAAGTCAGCCTGTGTTACATGAGTAGAGGTGGGGAAGAAGGGAGGGAGGAAAGAATGAGGTTAAGCACAGAGAGCAAGATAAAAGTGAACACAGGAAATGAAAATTTTAAATGGTTAGGCGAATAGAGTACTCTCCTCTGCTCTTTCCTTCCCCCCCGCCACACATAAACCTGTGTGTCACAATGTGTGGCCATCAGAGAACAGCTATTGGGAGTCAGTTCTCTGGATTGAGACAAGGTCTCTCTTCTGTCTACTGCTGTACTACATATTCAAGGCTAGCTGGCCAGTAAGCACACTGATTTCTAAGCATCCTAATCTAATATCTAAAGACTTATGGTACATGATAAATATTTCAGAATGCAATGGGTAATCACTGTTGAAGACAATGTGGAGGCATTGAAGCTGGTGGGAATGGAGAGTAACATAACCACTGTATAAATACTGGTGTCTCCCCAGAAAATTAAACAATGGACTGAAAATGGAGCCCAGTAATAGAGTAAATGGCTTATATTATGAAAGGTTCAAGGTTAAATTCCCAGCAACCTCATCCGCACCAACTCCAAAAATCCCAGAGATTTACTATGCCATTTAGCAATTTCTTTTCTGGGGAAATACTTAAACTACTATGTTCATACATACATAGTCTCAACAGCCATAAGTTGGGAACAGCTCATGGTTCCACCAACAGATGAATGGAAAAAGGCAATATGGTATATGCATACCTTGAAGTAGCATCCACCCCCCAAAAAACAGGACAAGCAATTCCTGATACATGTTTTAGTGTGACATAATAAAAGGACAAATATTATTGCTCTACTTCCATGAAGATCAATGACAAGAAAACGCATGAGTGGAAAATAAATAGAAGAACTGTTATGAGAATATGGCAGTAGAAGAATGAGGAGTATAGTTCCAATATACAATGATAAATATAACAAAGTATAATACATACATTTTTTCCGTGCACTAAAACATTTAGCTTTATTTCTACAGCATCAAGACCAACTTAAAAAAAAAAAAAAAAGACTTCCAAGAGAATTGGAAGACATGAATCCTTAGCTGGGTTACAATTTCACAAGCTCAATAGTTCTTTCTTCCTGTGTTTTCTGAACTTTACGTGAAGAAATCAAATTTCTAGCTGGGGTTGAGTTTACACAGGTTAAGACCTGTAGTCTCAGGTAGTTGGGAGTATAAAGCAGAAGACACATTTGAACACAAGAGTATGAGACCACTCTGGGCAATATAATAAGACCGATGGATGGATGGATGGATGGATGGATGGATGGATGGGTAGATGGATAACATTTCTAGCCTAAAATGTTATGACAGAAGCTATTAAAATTTAGGCCTAAACATATGTGAACCAAGTATATATCAATGTATTATCTAAATATCTTTACATTAATAATATACAACAAATATATACTTACTGTAAAACAAGAGTGAGTAACTTTATTGCTTGTACAGCAACATCATATTCTTTGTCAAGGGTCATAGACACAATTCTATCCTAAGAACAAAAAAATTAAAGTATTTTTAAAGGAAAAAAAGAAAAGTATCTCAAGCTACAAATATTTTTAAATACTCTAATGAGTACTAACCTTGAATCGACTGGTAAATAGTTCCAGTTTGGAATTAAGCTCTTTGTTATAATAAAGCCCTTGTAGAGCAGTAAGACATTTGAGTCTAACTTCACCTTGCTAGAAGAAATAAGAGGAGACAATATATTCAAACCACGTATTGTCAAGTTCAAAACTGAAGGATATACTTTCTACTTTAAAATGTAAGCAACATTTATTCAGAAACTGAAATAGTTGATAATGAAAAGTAGAAATTGGTGCAAAAGATTAAGCAGTGAGAAGACTATTCCTATAGGTCAGGTGATAATATTTCACAAAAATTTATCAAAGCAAAATAAACAGCATGTTTCACAGCAAATAATATTCAGAAGAATTGCAAGCAAAGAACTTCTCCAAGGCTAATGATGTGGCTTAAGAATGATAGTTTAAGGAAAAAATATGTATTAAAGGTCAGAAGACAAACTGTAAGGCCTACTTTAACTAAGATACATGTTTATCAAGACAGGATGAAAATTAAATAGAAGGGCCGGGCATTGGTGGAGCACACCTTTAATTCCAGCACTCAGGAGGCAGCGGCAGGCAGATCTCTGTGAGTTCGAGGCCAGCCTCCAAAGCTACACAGAGAAACCCTATCCCCTATGTCGAAAAACCAAAAAAAAAATATTAAATAGAAACTGAACTGTAAGGCTGTACTTCAGTACTGTAAAACAAAACTAAAGAAAAGCTATAAATATGTAAGACTCACAAAACAAAGAGATTTAGTGCTCTACAAAATGTCTTCCCATCACCACCTACATGATCCTAATTATTTCAGCACAATCAGAAAGTCAATACTAAGGATTACCAGTGTCCTTGCTCAACAATCCAGGGGAATCTAGACTAGAGACCAAGTTTTGACAGAGTAGACAGAAAAAAGTAAAAGGAGGGGTTTCAAGGGATGTGGCCTAAAGTATGCATAAATAGATATCTATTTTTTTGAGACAGGGTATCTCTCTATAATCCTGGCAGTACTGGAGCTCACTTTGTAGATCACGCTGGTCTCAAACTCAGAGAGCCTCCAGCTTTTGCCTCCAGAGTGCTAGGATTTAAGGTGTATACCAACATACCTGGTTCAGATATCAAATTTATAAATGAGATCTGCAGACAGTCATACCTATGTATAGATGGAAGAGTCAATGGGGCACAGCTTACCTTATCATGCATAGTCCAACCAACATATTTTAAATAGCTGTCATTAAGGAAGGCATCACTATACATCTTCATCCAAATGCCAATCTCTTCAATGCATATAGCTCTGATTTCAGCTATGGCATCCCTAAATGGAGGAAGGACAAGTTATATAATCAGTGCTACTATATTACTGGGGATATAGTCTATTCAAAAGATATCACGTATTTCTCATCTACTATTAATATCTCACCATGTTAACCACTGTTGAGGACTAAAAAGAATTGAAAGAAACCATGGCTTCAAATACTAACATGCTTATAGTCTAACTGGCCAAGAACAAGAAGCATAAATATTTAAAATTAAACAAAATTATTTTATCACTTAGTTGCTTACAGAACCTTTCTCATAAACAAAATCCTACCTTCACCCTTTACTCTAGAAGGTGATTCTCAACCTTCTTCATTCTGCAATCCTTTGATACAGTTCATGTTGTGGTAAACACCAACCATAAAATTATCTCATTGCTACTTTATAACTATAATTTTGCTACTGTTATGAATCATGAAGTAAATATCTGTGTTTTCTGATGGTCTTAGGTGGTCCCTGCAAAATGGCTTGATTTCAGAAGATAACAGGAAAATTAGTATAGCAAGATCATGATCTTGCAAGTATAATTACTTTATATCCATAACACTTAGGCCAAGCCTGATTTTAGTCCATAATTTTTTTAAGACAAAGTCTCATTATGATGCCCAGGCTGGTCTCCAATGATCCTATTGCTTGGATCACAAGTATGTGGAAAACTACTTGTCTTTTACTAAATCATTTTGAGTTCACTTTTTATACTTGTGAATCATGGATTAACACAAGAATGTTTTAGGGAACTAGAATAATCAATAAAAATAAATATGATGGAATATTATAAAACAAGCATTACATGGATTCAGTAAGTACGAAGTTAAGGAAATGAAGCTAAATAAAAATGGTACCAACATTTGTGAACATGTAATAAACTGTGTTAAGATTACATTTCTCATCTGCTAACTTAAAATAACAAAATGAAGCTTCTTACTTTATTCAAATTTTCCCAGTGAAATTAAATAGAAGAGTGAAGAATTAGCATGTGTAATCTAGCAACACAATATATCCCAAAGCAATTAAGTATTCTGTACCCTTATTAAAAAGTATATTTTCCATTTGCTGGACTATGCCAAGTCAGGCACAGAGCATTACCATTTATTCAGATAGGAAACATCAATGTCACAGCAGTAAAATGAATTTTCCGAGACTCACTCAGTAGTAGAACTCAGGATCCAACATGTATCTTACTATAATTTTCTTTCCCTTAGTTTATACTAAGTCAAAGACAAACAAATTAACAGTCTTGACTTACCGGTATCTATGTACAAACACTCCTTTAAATATTGCATTCATCATGTTTTCTATTTCATCTTGATTTTCCTGAAGCTATAAAGAAGAACAGACCATTTCTTTTGAATTGCAAAGGAGTACATCCAAAAGGACACTTAAAGGTTGTTATAAGTAACAATAAATATAGATTGCAACAGTTTTTGGTGCCTACATCTTTCTATTCTAATGGGCAAAAGTGACCACAGAGGAAAATTTAAATATCAAGCAATATATGGCTAGTAGATTATTTTACTGCTGCTTATAAATTTCCATTGTACAGTATTCACATCTAAAACATGCAAGAATTTTTCATTTTTAATCTTATGACAAAGAAGTGTCATATGAACTTATGCCTGCTCAAAATGTTTAAAAAAGGTAAAATAAGTATAAAAATTGTATTGTTACTATATTGTTTTAGGAAAGAAATACTGTCCTGAAATAATAAGTAACAGTTCCTATCTTGATTAATTTATTACAAATGTATATTATTTACTCACAGACATTTTAACTTTATAGTTTGAGAATTAACAGAAAAATGCTTTACAATGTAAGGAATATTGTTTTACAATCATAATATAAAATTAAATTTAAAATATAAAAATATAAATTCATACTCTAAGGAATATTGTTTCAGTCATAATATAAAATTAAGTTTTATATTATTTCATGTGATTTTTCTAGAATGGGTTTCTTCTCTGTATGACTAATACCTTGTATTCACAAATGATTCTAAAATGGGCATGTATTTATACTTATGAATGTAATATTCATTATCACAGTCAAGCTGTAATTTTATTTGTTTAAAATCTTAGCCATAGACTGAGGATGTACATCAGCACCAGAATATTTGCCTAGCATACGAGCTCTAACATGACTAAAAAAAGCAAAGAAAGAGAAGGAAGAAAGCCCTGTAAGGAATAAGTGGACATAAGAAGGAAGGATGGGGACAGCAAGGAAAGGCAGGAAAGAGGTGAAACAAAACATACATAAACCTAATCTAGAAAAGGGGGTAATTTGTGAATGAGTTCAAGACTTTACACATGGTACAAAGGCACTCATCATTGAGCTATGTGTATCCTTTGGTGTATTTATTCTAAAATTTGAATTTCAAGTACTTGTAAATTTTTCCGTTCACTCTATGTTAAAAGTTTATGCAACACTACAGGTATAATTTCAAGGAATGAAATATACTTCACATTTAGAATGAACCTATAAATAAAATGTATTAAGTGAATAAAGGTACAGGTGTATCAATTCTTCATTTCAAATTACAAGAAAAAAAATGAGGGATATAAAAGCAAATTTGTCATCCCTAAATCTTTGGTTACTTTTTTGAAAATATCATACTAAGTAGTAGGTTTCATTATGGCATTTTTATCCATAATTTCTTTTTTGTTTGTTTTTCCTTCCCACTCGAACCCCTCAATTTGCCCCTGAACTTTTCACATTTTCACTCCAGTAGCTCCCCTTTTATTCATGTGTATTCTGTCATGTGTACTTCACTCTTTCTAGTTTCGTGACTCAATTATGTATGCACTAATATAAAAATTATGTAAGTAGTTGTCTTTACTTTCTTTCCTTTTCTTCTCCCAAATCCCCTGCAAAAGGGCTTTCTCTTTACAGCCCTGGACCTCATTCTGTAGACCAGGCTGGTCTTGAACTCACAGAGATCCATCTGCCTCTGCCTCCCAATTCCTGGGATTAAAGGTACACACTCCTACTGCCTGGCTTGTCTTTACATTTCATAGCTTTATTGAGCCAAGTTATTTGACTAATTCAGAAATGACCAACTTAAAATTTTAGCTTCTTCCAAAAACAAAAAAATCCCAGGGCCAAGTAAATAATCTGTAGATTATCATGAAAACTATTTGAATTCAACTACATTACATTTTTTGATTATGCAACATTTTCAATCCCACTGTGAAATAGAAAAACATATCTACAATGAAGAACTTGTTATAAACGCAGCACCAAAAGATTTTATTTATCATTGCTTAGGATAAAACTAAAGCTGAATTTCCTCATTTGAAACTGAATTTGGTGAGCAGAAAAGCAAGTGTTTTCTATTATACTGAAACAAATTATTTAAATTCCAATTAAAAGCTGTAAGTCATTTTACAAATGTATTTCACAGTAACTATGAAATCTCATTTCATCTAATCAATAAGCTGAAACAGTCAGGACAAAGACTGTCAGTAACATTAATAATACTAAGGCTTACTTGAGCACAAAACTTGGTAGTAGCCTACAAAGAAAAACGTATACTGAGGTACTGTTAGCATGGATATTTAATAAAACCTGGAGTCAGATGCATGAACAATGTTTAAATCTTAGTACTGGGGTACTATAGCTCAGTAGTAAAACATACATGTGGTATTCATAAGGTCTTGGTTCAATCCTCACCATCAATAAAAAAATTAATAAAACTTTAAAAATTATCTGAGCCTAGCAAGTTATAATTAATGTAACCAAGTTGGTTGCATATTAGTACCCTATATATTTAATACTAGAGGTTACCTCTTTACGCTTTTGTAGCAGGAGTTCTAGCCTCTCGTTGGCTCGTTTTCCAATCATTTTATTGCGTTCTGCCTCATATTGTCTTTGTGTGTTATCCATGTTAATGCTGAGATTTAGTGCCACATTTACCAAAGCGGTCATCAACTTCATAGCTAGATTTTAAAGGAAAAAAATAGTATAATAGATGCAAAATTTCATTAAAAGGATCAAATTACAAAAAATTAAGAAAAAAAAAACCATTCTGCTTTTTGACCGAAATAAAGGATCCAACTGCCACAAAGTTGACAGCAGCACCTAATGTATGGAATATGATGAGTCAGTAAAAGTGCCTAGCTTAGTACTTACTATCAGTTGCATTATCTCCTAGTCCTGACAAAAGGCCACCAAAACAAGAGCTAAAGACATTAAGAATCTCGTCCTTAAGAGTACTGGCAGTTTAAGAGCACTTCCAGTAACGAACTATAGAAATGATACCTGTCAGTTAGAAGACCTGGGCAGTCTATGGGGCCTCTGGTAGTGGAAGAGTGTTTATCCCTAGAGCAGGAATGGACTTTGTGGAGCCCACTCCACATAGAGGGAGACTCTCTCAGCCTAGACACACGGGGGAGGGTCTAGACCCTGCTCCAAATGATTTGACAGACTTTCAAGATCCCCCATGGAAGGCCTGACCCTCCCCAGGGAGTGGTTGGGGGGTGAGTGCAGGGTATGAAATGATGGGAGAGGGAACTGGGATTAATATATAAAATAAGATTGTTTCTAATGTAAATAAAAAAGATTATTTAGACCTAGAAACAACAACAACAAAAAACTTCCAGAGGACCCAAATTCAATTACCAGGACCTATGTGGAAGTTCCCAGCCACCTGTAACTCTAGTTCTAGGGACTCCAAAGCCCTCTTCTGCCCTCCCCAAGCAACAGGCACACAAGGGATTCAGTCACACATGCAGAAAAACACACACACACACACACACACACACACACACACACACACACACACACACACGGGAGTTTACATACAGTTGCCCATATACTATAGTACACATTTCAGGGTTAACTGCAATGCCAAACAATGTAAGTGAGGTCCAGAATATATTTACCTGCTACTATTCTAGAAAATGGTTCTTACAATGATCTTTTGAGAGACTACGATTTATCTTCTAAATTAAGAGTTTAGATTTATTTTCCATTCCTCTACATAGAGTGGGAAGAATCAAGAGAATTTTTGAGACAGGGTCTTCTAATACTGTTGCCCAGACTAGCCCAGAATTGTCTACATAGCCCAGACTGGCCTCTAACTCATGGCAATCCTGTGTCAGCCTCCTGGGTACAAAAATTAGAGAAACAAGCCATCATACCCAAATTTAACTGTCTCACATCATATTATTTTGGGTTGAAAGAGTTTCGTAAGCATCCATTTTTAGTTTTTCTGTTGTATATCATAAAAAAGACAATGATAAAATTGTAAAGAGGCATAAAGATATGAACATATTTTAATCACACACAAAATGTTTTTTCATGAAAAACCCTCTAGATCTGTACCTTTTGTTACAAAGCTTGGGACAAGACTACCTTACTTTTGTCTTCATTTTTGATGCATTAATCTTTAACTCAAAAATCTGTTAACTGTCCTTTCTTTACCAACTGGCATACAGCACATTAAGAGATATGACAAAGCAACAGTATACTTGTATTTGTGGCTATCGGGCATTTTTCTGCTGTAAGCTATTTAACAGCTGAAGAAGAGAATAAATATACCAATCAATTCCCAATAGTTCACATTGGGCAGAAGAAAAGGACTATTAACTTAGTGGTCACCATATCAAAAGAAAAGTAGCACTCAGGATGCAGAGACAGGCAAGATATCTTTGAGTTCAAAGCCAGTGAGTGTATGGGCAAGATACTCTAGGCCAGTCAGAACCACACATTGACATGTTGTCTCAGAAATACTGAAAAGGAATTCACAGTATTACAACTGTTAACTCTTGATGCCAATCTCTCTCGTCTCTAACAGACGAGACGTCTGTTAGAGACGTCTCTAACATAAAATATTTCAAAATACCAACCTGCCAGGGTGCTTGTGTGTCGAAATGCTCTGACTTGTGAATCAGACAATCCAGTAAGAAGTGAAATGACAGTATCCATCATATACTCATCATATATGATACTATATTGACACTGCCGTACTAATACACCAATGAACTCACAAAAACTGGACTTGAACTTCTTCCACTGAGGGCCAGCCATGGTGAGTGGATAGTCCCCACTATCCTAAAAAAGGGGGGGTTAAACAGCATTTCATTTCAAGTTCATGACTTAGTTCATTTACTTTTAATGCAGCCAGGGCAAAAGCATGAAAATACTACTTTATCTTACCTTCTTTTCCAAGAATGAACTTTAAAGAAAGCAAAAGAATTTGCAAAGATAGATGCATTCCTCTTTGAACACTGACCTTTTATTTAAGATCAAAGTAGACATTTTAATAGACCTAACTTTAATCAGTGAAATTAAATATCAATTACTGATGTTAAAAATATTAAGCATTCCCTCATCAAAGTAAAACATTCTTCTGAAAAGCACAACTACACCTACTAAATTTCTTTAGAACAAAAACAAATCAAAATTATAACCTCAGATTGAAATAATAAAATTATATTCTAGCCATTTAAATAGAATCAGTTAATTTTTTTTATTAGTTTTAAGACACCAGTAGGCGTAAACAACCACTTAATTTAACACATGCAAAGCTGGGAATACAGCTCAGCAGAAGAACAGTTGCTAGCAAGAGTAAGGGCTTAAATTTGGCCCCAAGCACCAAACAATAAAACAAAATTTAGTAAGAGAACAGGAAATGTAGCTAAGCCAGCACTCGGGTTTTCCTTCATGTAAAAATGGGGTTATTCGGGGTTGGAGAGACAGCTCAGTGGTTAAGAGCACTGGATGCTCTTCCAGCACCTACATGGCACTTTACCAGTCTGCAACTCCAGCTCCAGGAGTTCTGACACCTTCACACAGAAACTTGTGCTGGCAAATGCCAATGAATATAAAATAAAAATAATGATTTTTAGAAAATGGGGAATTTCATCATTCCGAAGTTAAACTGATAGTCTCCAAAACTCATTAAAAGTAAGTTCTAGGCTGAGGATTTATTTTAGGAGTAGAGCATATGCCATGAGTAGGCCCTGGGTTTCATCCATGGCATATACACATACACATACACATACATATTTAAAGTAGAGCCCAATAGTATTTAAAAACTGCAAAAGGGCCTCTGACAAGAGAAACGAAAGCATCAATTTGATCACTGAAGTATATTGTTTTTAATGTTTAAATTCGTAATTAATTTGTCAAACTCATGTGGGGTTTTTTTGGACCAACGGGGATTAAACCCAGGCTCTAGATCATGTTAAATACACACTCTGACACTGAGCTACTGATGAGTTCATTTAGTTAACTATATTGAAATACAGTTGTGAGCAAATTGGTTTGCTGAGATGTTGTAATCATATTTCAAGATGATTAACTCAAACCCTTGTTTTCTTTTACTAAGAAGGTTCTCACTAAAACGTTTACTATTGAAAGATTAAAAAAATTTCCATTGCTCATGAATACCTTCCTGCTACTAAGGGACTGATTAATAGCACTTAGTGGCATCAAAACCATTTTAACAACTCATCTATCTCTTAGAATGATAGCTGAAAGCTTTTTCATTAGACAGAGCAAGAAAAAAATAACCAAATAAAACAAGTGAGACAAGTGTTTCTATTTGAAAGTTCAAGTCATTCTAGAAGCATAAAACTGGTGCTAGAATAGGTATGAATAAAACAAACACAAATTTCTGTTCTAGAGAAGTTTTCACTTTAGTAAATTTACCAATGATTTATTGGTAGCAATATTTTGATGATATATATCACTGTGATAATCAACTGCAATATATACTATTTTTGTTCTTTGAAATAGAAGGTTTTCAGTC